TCCCCCAAATACTTCCCAAATGGCAAAGGAAATTTCGAGATATATGTTAGAGTCAATGAAAAAGTCAAATATTAGCGTTAACAGCTTCATAGGTTGATCTCGTTCGAAGACGACTTGACTTCCGTTGCTCGGTAGCCATTTGGTTAGTTGAAAGGTCTCCTTTCAGTGATGGGGTAAAACGGGGTGAGTTTGTAGAAGATGAAACTTATTTTAGCAAAGTTTTCTGGCTCCCAGGAAGTTAAAAAAACTGGCTAGCACTTTCCTCAAGGCTGAATATAGCCACACGAATGTTGAAACTGGGCATTTATAGATTATATAAATAGATAAAAATTAGATTGATTAGTATATTTTATATGAGTCAGTGATCAATGACTAGCTCATTGATGGTTCCAACCACATTCACATTTATTCAACATGTCTATTTAGCTCACCAACTTATCGCCCGGATTGTGCAATCATAGTCCTGCTACTCCCTTGGGTCCTTAAACCTTAATGGTGATGGAGTGGCATTACATTTTGTTGCGATTAATCCGAGTTACGACTGCCGACTAAGTACCCTAACTTACTCACGTAGAGAAGCAAATTTACTTATATTCAATCGAGTAGATGAGTAAATAGATTCTTATGCAAATTATTTGTATATATCCATCTATCTACAAATCTAAATGTACAGATGTACGTGTCCACCCGGCTAGTCTTCTCGACTAGGCGGTAATTTTTAAGCTCCTATAAAAGTGAATACCATTTCTGAGAATATCTGACTGATGAAAACTCCTTCCGTTTTCATGCCAAGTGAAGGAAGATACTCTTCGTATGTTAATATTTACAGATTTCAATGTTGTTCTCAAACGCTACAGTGAAAAGTCTCGTCTTAAGGACAGACTTGAACACTCTTTTCAAGACCCGCTATGTTTCAAGTGGGCACAAAATGTTGTCCTGTTTGGAATGCCACGTATTTCGTCCGGAAGAATGCATGAAACTGCTCTCCAGATATGGGCGAGCTCGCCCAGATCCTTAGACTCCAGGAGTCCGCCTACACTTGCTCACCTCGGATGAGATGAAAGCACAGCCTATGATTGCTTTCCGATGTCTCACATCTCGTTCAAGAGCAGTAGTTTTGCAGCCAGTTGTCTTGGCTGTAATATTTCCATGACTGACCAGTCATGAAGGTGGGCTGATCCATCCTCTGATTCACTAGATGGTCAGACTGTTGCGCCCAAGGTGACCGCGACTCTTCACCGATGACCTGTTCATGGACGACCTTTTACAGCTTTCATGGAAAGGTCAGGGGATGAAGCTCGTCAGAGATGGATAGAAGTCTTATGGGAAATATGAGAACATTCTTGGGCTATGAACATGCTTTTAGTTTCCTAATTGTAAGTGGGTCACGTTGTGAAGAAGCGAATTATTAGACTGACGGTAAGCCTGCTCACGATTGATTGCCAAAAGAGCTTTACAGCGTCGTACACCCTAAGAAATCATATTCATTTTCAATTCGATTGGACTGCCATTTCCACCCTGCTTCATCTGCTCACCACCAACCGAACGGCATCTCGCACGGAATTCAAACAATCTAGTTCGCTGGTTACGAGACCTCGCAAGTCAAATAGTCATTATGAATTGTGCAAAAAGTGAGCCTGTCTCAACTTCCATCCTCTGTAGAAAATATTTTAGCGACAATAAACGCAATCCTGGCGGCAACCAAACAAACCATTACTAATTACAATTTGAGTAGTCTGCTAAATTTGAGGAAAACACATTAATATTTATTGAAATAAAAACAGATTGATAGAAGCTTGCGTCGGCTTTAAAGATCTACTTGCCGAGGCTATGTTAATGGAACTCAGAGTTAAATTCGATGTTAGTTTAATCGTAAAATCAACGAAGGGTGCGGATGAAACGATGAATCAAGATGAAACTTCACTCCTCACATTGTACAATCACTCTCATGGTAGACACAAGCTTCATTATATGCATTAATCAAAAACGGTTTTTGACAATTCTTCTAAGATAACACTGTTGTGGAAATTTCTTTTTTGTATGAAAGTGCATGGTGCATGCGTACAGATGTTACCACACATGATCATACACACAATCGAGTATACGAGGATCAACCAAACCTATATATATATATATATATATCTAACATTGATTCTCGTTATCAGTATATGTATCATGAAGGAAATAGCTGATTATTCTTCTCGAGTTAGTATTTACTTAAGACATTTGTAAGAATGAGTCCCAGTTCTGATGATTTTCGTTAATTGAAGAACGAAAGCTCAGCCCGCCGTTCCCCGAAACGAGGGACTGTGTCAAGCTTAACATGGCATTGAAGCCAAACGGCTGAAGTACAACGAGAATCAGCCGTCATCTTCTAATTATATCGACGTAAGCATCTATTCTTTATGCACTTTCATGCGAAATGAAAGTTTCCACAACAGGCTTCGTGAGCAGATTCGCTGTCGGATCCGAAAAGCCACATCAACAACCCCCAAGCTGCACCTAGACAAAGTGTTATTTCGTTCGGCATTGTGGCAAAAGGTTTACACATTTGGACAGGATTAGCTTTATGTGAGGATATTTCAGCAATAATGTCACCGGAATTCAGCTTTTTCTGCCACTTGAAGGTCAAGAGGTCAGCCGGTTTTCAGGGGAACCGAAAAACACTGTCCCGAAGGCCGATTCGGCACGATGTCTCCTCTAGATTTCGGTGACAGCAAGATCAGAGAAGACCAACCCTCCTTTTATGGTGATACATTCCAAACGAGATTCAGCACAAAACGAAGCTTTTTCGTAAGACTAGTTGAGGCCAGCTTTCTCCCACACAGGCGGAGTATTACTAGAATAGGAAATTAGTCAGCATAGTTCGCTTAAAGTGATGGAAGGCCTGATAGATAAGTTTTCCAACTATGAAATGAGTATTGGTGAGACCCAAATAGCACTCCTCATGTCACCTTAGGAGACCTAGGCTGACTAAGTTCTTACTTCATAATAACGGATAGTGTGGAGAAAAGAGCATTTTTAATCCGATTCCACTCGACATTCACACACCTGCTCTTGCTTGCCACAACTTTCAGATTCACGTCTGGACTACTTCTCCACTTTGCTGCCCAACTAACCCTTTCGTATTGCAACGCCACACCAAAATGAGTTGCATCAATACAGGCGAGTTTGATACTACTGTACGGAATTCAGTAATAGAGACAAAAAATGCCAAAAAATCATTTACTCACTTGTTTGTCGAGGTAACTTGCAAAGTATTTTTCGATTTCTTCTTTTGATACGGCTTCCGTGACCTGAAAGATAAAGACATCAGGGGCATATCATACAGCAAATTGGCAATCTCAACAAAAATATGTGTACTGAGCTGTGCACGTGTATAAATTTGACAGTGAATAACACGCTATGTGCCTCAGATGTAGTTCCATATCACACTAACCAATCACACTTGGATAAAGCACAGCATAAGAAAATACTATATCATAACAATCTTTTTACACAGTTTTGGCTCCCAAATCCGTACTTTCTCCATCACTCAATTCGCCCACACAGCTTATACTGTGTGCTCGCTTTGGCAATTAACAGCATGGTAGAGCCACAACACCTTTCCGAAATCCAGAGAGCTAGTCTCATCTGCCGAACTGTGTGGAGCTTCCATTAGTTATTAATCCCATGTTTATTTATTTAGTTAGTAGTGTCTTATAGTTTCCGTATGGCAAACTGTCTTGCAACAAGAGAATGCGATGGAAGAGGACAAAAATAGTGCCATTCTGTATTTCTGTCAGGCACCAGCTGCCATTTAGAGTTAAGAATCTGATGCTCAATTATCCAGTATCACGTAGAGACCCACTTTTTGTCTTGAAGGTAAAGCTGCATCACTCATAATATAATGAGTAGAATGACTCTTAAGGCCATTGCATTCCACTTGGCCTTGTCGATTTGGGTTGGCCCAGAGGCGGTGTCTCGGCAGCCTCGAGAGCGCTCTTCCGCGGGTTGGTTTCAGAGTCGGTGAGTCCGAGTCCCGAGGGGCCAGCGACATGACTATAGCGCCGGCTTGAGACTTTCTTTTGAAGGAAAAGTTTGTTGGAAGGGATCTGTGAATCGACTTCACTGGAGAGTGAAAGAGGATTTCTGAAGTGAGCAGTTTTTGTGACTTTCAGTAATTCTTGACTAAACATATAGTCAGCCTAGATCACATAGTGTGATTTGTGTAAGGATATTTGGGTTTTTCTCACAATCATATGACTAGGCCTCAACATTTCATTGCATTTCTTCATTCAGCCCGACTGAAGTGGACATCACTTTCGACTTTGCTGCATCAGCATCATCACCCTCCATACCCCCAACGGGAGTGGAGCCTTATTCATGAGTATCTTGGCGACGAATGCCACTCCAACACGAGGTAATGGGTACCAAGGAATCGCAGTGAGACTGTGATATTCAAGGCAAGTTAAGCCTCACCAAAATCCCATTTGTACGCTGGCATTAGTAATTAAGTAAACATGTTTTTGCCAATGCAGTTGACGATTCTACTTATTTTCGTAGTAAGTAGTTGTCGAGACTATCAATACTTCCGAAAGGGTCGTTGTTTTAAAGGATTGATGTGTTTTTTTGGCAACCAATAATTTCCGCTTCTGACACTGTCTGTCTTCAAGGATCGCTATTGTAGAACGGTGCAGACTCCACGCCACGGCAGCCATATTTCGGTCTCCGGTGAGACCAACTCACAAATCTCTTCCAGC